TTTTTTTTTACTAACACTTGAGAAGTTAAAGTACAGAGCAGTGGAAAGCTTCAGTGTTTTTATCATCTTTTTATTAGCAATTTGTGAACCTCAAGTGAAATTCTTCTTTATGTTATGTAGCATGGGGGGAGGTTGGTTTTTATTTTATCTCTTTAATTTTTATTTTTAGGCAGGGTGTTTGCAGTCTTACTTTCTCCTTCTGGAAGGATATTTGACTTGATTTTTCTTTAACTTGACTTTTTTTCATGGTGAAAAATTACTTATGTGCTCTTTCCAGCTGTATGAACAATTTCAGTAATCAAAAGGAATGGTAAAAAGAAATGTTGCAACCCACCCTTCCCCTTAGTGATTTTTCTTTTGCCCTACCTCTTGCATTTAGTTCTTGTATGGTTTTAGTATCCGGTTCAGTCTAGAGGTTGAAAAGAGAACAACTCCCTGGAGCGTCTTTCCCTTTGTGGCACGTTAGAATGGCTCCGTGTGGCTGTCGTTCATGGCCTTACATCATGGTGAAGTCTCCAGAAAGTGTCCGGGGAAGTGAGGAATAGTGAGAGTGGGAGATCAGAAGAGTACCTCCAGTTGGCCCCAAGAGGAAACTCCTTATTTTTCTTGTTTGTTTGTTTGGGTTTTTTTCCCCTAGTTAATGTGTTTTGTTATCAAATTAATAACAGTAAGTGAAACAAATGTCAGGCTCTCCCAGCTCTTGGTCGTTGGGTTTTCAGAGGCTCATACTTAGCCCTCAAAATTTTGACGCTGATGGGTAGAGTATGGGGGGAAAATTAATATAAAGTTTAGAGGTATTTGCAGACTGCTTTGCTCAGAGGCAGCTAGCTGTAGCAGATTTTCTGTTTATCCACCCAAGTTAAAACCACCTCTTTCAACGAAAGCTTTAGCATTTTCCTTTATGCCAGTAGGACACCTGTGTTGAAGCACTCCCGAGAACCTTGTGTCCCAAGGAACCAATGTGTAGATAACTGCTGTAACTATCAACTGGAAGGAGCAAAGATACATTGGAAAAACAAGTGGTTCCCTTGTGACACTCACCTCTCCAGGCTGGATGAACAAGGCTGCAGCCACCCTGAGGGAACCGTTTGTCAGTATCTTAGGATATGATGACTCTTGAGTAATTTTTCTTGGTCGAGTAGGTCATTCTTCTAAAAGGAAAGCAGAAAAAAACCCCACAAAGACTACTGGCCACACTTTTTGATTGTTAATGAACAAAGCTTTCCTCGTGATCCAGCACTGTGCTATAAAACAGAGTTGGGAAGATAAGAGGGCAGCATTTACTTTCTTGGAGATCTCTTGTTTGTCAGAGGGCTTATTAAGGGTCCTCTGTCGTTGTCTGAGTTGTTTGTAGGGTATTAAACCAAAATGAACTTTTACCCTTTGTATAACTTCTCCAAAAAGCCCAAGTCAAATTAGATGTTACTAGAGTCTCATTTGATGACCGCTTCCGGGAGTGGAAGTGATTTTTGTGGGCATCCTGCTAACCTTCAGCCATTTGATGACCGCTTCCTGGAGTGCTCTCATTCTTCTATTGATTTTTGTGGGCATCCTGCTAACCTTCAGCTGTCCTTCCAATAATCATTTTAGCTTCTGTTTCTTCTTGAAAACATTCTAACACAGGATTGTTTTCATCTACAAAGCAGAACAAGACATCTGTGCTTTTAGTCTATGCCTTTCTGAACATGGTTTCCTGATAGACCTCCAGCAAGCTGACTCCTAACCCACCGACCAAAGACATGGGCATGCTGATCAGAACCAACAGGAGAGTATTTGTTTCAAAGAAAGAACAAGCTGCTGAAGTTACTCAGGTAGCTTGCTTTAGACACCAGTCCAGTCTAAAAGAATTAATTAGCTAACGGGAATGGTTCAGTGGCTTGTGAGTAACTTAGGCCAGCATTTCTTTGAATAGATGGACTTCTACAGAGCGAACAGGAATTTTTCATCTGTATCTATTTCTAAAAAGAGTTCAGTGCTTCAGAAAGAGACATGAATTTTATGACAGAAACTTATTCCTTAATGTTTTGTTGCTGGTCACAGAAAAGATGATAAAAATAGTTGTAAGTTTTTTCAGTTACATGCATTTTTAATAACAAACAGAGTACCAGAATAATCAAATCTAATATTGCATACTAGCTGCTTAGGGATTATTTTTTTTTCTCTATCTACTAATTTAATACAAGTCTTGACAGTAATAAGTTGTTGGTTTCTTTCCCCTGTAGTATGGGCAATCATTTTTCCCTTCCTTGCTACTCACTCTTGGCTTATGTCATCTTCTCTCCCCTCATTCCTTTAGTTCCTCCTCATAAATGCATGCACAGTATTTTATAGTAAGATCCACCTATGGTTTTGCCTTTTAAAAGCTGAAGAGTTTGCTTCCTTAGTTTTGTTTTGTGGATATGCAATTATGAAAGTAGAGCTTCTTAATTTTTTTCTGCTTATTTCTGGATGTCTTTCTTAGAATTGCTGATTGAATCTCTATTATTAATCTCTCAACCCCTGAAATAAGATTACCTTAACAGTGAAGCGGCTCGGAAGGGGAGAAGCAAGAGAGGGGCTATTTCTCTAGAACGAATGCAGGCCTTCAGTAAGGGCTTTCCTGGGCAGCGCTCGAGTGTATCAATGGTAACTTTTTGCTGCTAGCCACAGCCTAAGTGGGTGAGCATGTATGGGTGATAGCAGTTATAATTGCAGTACAGGCTAGCTTTGTTGGGGGCCATTTCATCAAATCAGCAATGCCATGGGCAGAATCCAGTACCAGCAGTTTTACCAGAATTGGTAAATTGTGGTTTTTTGGTTTTTAGATCTTGAAGTCTTATCAGCCTGTTACAAATTAACCAAATACCAGAAGTAAGGAAGGAAAAATATTTATGTTGAGCACTTAATCGTACAAATGTTCACACATTTCCTTTTTAATCTGCTTTATTAACCTAAGTATTGTGTTGAAATTTTGAATTGTGTATGATGCTTAACTTCCAACCAAAGGCAGAGGGAATCAGTACAATTAGCAAATATATTTCTGCAAAGGTGATTTGTCTTGTATTTAGAGCTAACAGAAAACTTTGATTGCAGTTTTTTAAAGAGAATCAAAGAAGTAGGCCTCAGAGTAAGGCAAGAATTCACACTAGGCAGCCACATGGCCAAAAAAAAATGGTTCCGATTACAGCATCTGTTTGCAGAGGTAGAGAAATTAAAAGGTTGTGATTGGGTGTTTGATTGACTTGTATCATGAATTAATAACTGTCTTTTCTACTGTGGATTGTAAGCCTTCTGTTGTAAGGTAGACACAGTACATTCTTCATGCATGTATTTGAGTCTTGTTCTATTAACATTTCTGCACAATTAATAAGTTAGCAATAATAGTATCAGAACTAAAAATTGATAAGATGCTTTTATGGTGATTCATTATTCTGTGTAAGACAGACAAGATTTGTAAAAATGCGGTTATTTGACTGCTGCTGCTTGTTTCTGCTCCAGTAACTGTATTACATTACAGCATTAGGGGCTGAATTGACAGTGTGAATAGTCTTAATTTTATGAGCAGTAAATTTCATATGGTGTCTTACCAGCTATGGACCTTCTTTCCAGGAACTCCGATTCATGGTTCTTGAGGAAATTACAGTATCTTTAATATTGTAATGGTTAGTTATACAGAGGGAATTAGTTTCTCATAGTGTGACTATATTAAGGCAGTATTTGTTTAGTAAGATTTGCTTTGTTCCATATTTCTGTGTCTAATAGTTAACAGGGTAAGAGAGAATTGAAAAGAAAAAAAAGTAGTTAGACACACAATGGGAAACAGTTTCCCCAATTGTTAGTCAAGAGTCCATGAAATTGTAGTTATCAAAAGACGTATTTTTTAAGGCTTTCAGGCTACTGCTGTTTATTTTTTTTTAACTGATTCATTAGAGAATGTGAAGCAGTTGATTTCCTGTTTTTGCGGAGGTTTCTCCTTTTGAAGGTAAAGTGGATTTTTACTTGTTTTTTCCCCAAGATTATAGGAAGTTTCATGCCAGACTAGTCCTGCATTTCTGTTTTCTTCCTGATTGGTTTCCCAGCTGGGGTAAGCCAGAAAATGCCCTCTATCGGTTGTCACCACCTGATAAATTGACAGGTGGTGACTTCTTAAGAGCAGTCATTTTAATTGTTGTTGACTGCTCTCTGATTAGCTCTATCAGCAGGTAATAGGTGTCCCCCTAGTAAACAGCTCTGGCTCCGTCTGCCTACAGTGCGAGCTGGTGGCAATCTTGGGCTGTCAGAGCTATAAATTGTCACCTGTCCAGGTGTAGTTCAGTTTCTAAACCACTACAGATGCTGTTATTATATTCCAATTTTTTTTTCTAATTCCAGTTAGACTCTAGACTTTAGTTCGTGTGCTTGTGAATATCCCAGGTTTCTTTGTGAGTTGCATTTTTGGGGCCAGCAATGGATCAAAACTTCTCTGCACCTTTCGAGATACCGGTTGTAATGGCACCGGCAAGTCAGGACCTTTTTGCACAGGTGCTTAAAAAAGAAACTAGGAATGCCCCACTCGTTTTCTTCATACAATTGCTTTGGATTTGCTTCATATAATTTACTCTGGATTTGTCACTTCTGTTTCCCCTTCCACCCTGCTGTAGAAGTCTTCTTTTCCTTATCTGTTGCCTGATTTCCTTTTCTTCCTCCCCTCCCCCCCCTTTTTTTTCTTTTTTACCATTTACAGTCCATCAAAGGACTGGGATGAAGAATAAAACAAATGTGCTGTTAGTATGTGATGTTGTAAGGGAAAATAAATAGGTCTTCTCTAGTCTGGGAATGGTGTAGATTTTATTCCAGAACACATTTTCATCAGGGTTTGTAGTCTGCACCAGGAAGCAATTGCTGGGGGTTGTTTTGGATTATTTAAACAGTAAGAAATCGGCATTTTTGGTAACTTTTGGGGAATCTTCTTTGCAAACTAGCAAAAGCTGCAACATAGAGATGAATTCTTTTTCCTTTTTTTCCTTTAATTCTCACAGAAGCAACCATGGGGTGCATTAAAAGCAAAGAAGATAAAGGTCCAGCCATGAAATACAGAACTGATAATACTCCAGAACCTGTTATTTCCCACGTCAGCCATTACGGATCAGACTCCAGCCAGGCAACACAGTCACCATCAATAAAGGGATCAACAGTTAATTTTAACAGTCATTCTATGACTCCATTTGGAGGACCCTCAGGAATGACACCCTTTGGAGGAGCATCTTCTTCATTTTCAGCTGTGCCAAGTCCATATCCTAGTACTTTAACAGGTGAGTATTACATAAAATGATGCTGTTATTATTAAAGCCTGAAAGTCATATTCAAAAAAGTACTATGACCTCTTGCTACACAGAAATAAATTGCAAATGTAAAATAAATTGCCTTTTAGGAATTTCTGATTTTCAATACCTTTACTGCTCAGATAATAATTCAGCCCATATTCACTAGTGACTGGGGCTTGGGGATTGAGTGTTTTGTCTTTTGTTTTCGGTGGGGGTGGTTAGGATCACAGCACAGAGACATTTAAGACTTATTAAATGCAGTAATGGGAATAGTTGATAAAATTAGAAGTTTTAAGCTGTTGAAGGGATGCACATGGGATAAGAGCTTAAACTTTTGGAGAGAGGTGTAAAATTAAAACACTTGAATTTCAGGAAATTGGTATTTTAAACTGATTTTCAGACTTACTTAATTAGCTTTTATTAATGCAACATTGAATCTGTTAATTTATAAAGCTAAACAGGATGTGCAGTATGTTCTGTGTACTTTACTATATAAGAAGAATGTGTGAAATGAAAGAGCAGAATTCTCATTGTTGGTGGTCATATTCAAACCAAAGTTGAAATTGTAAAAATAGAATGTACAAAGCACAGAGACTTTCTTGGCTGAGATATAAAGTCTCTGAAGGTACAGCATTTTAAAGCAATATGCACATTTGATGTTATAAACACACCTTTATATCAAAATCTTAGAACTTCATTACATAAACATTGATTTGCACACATGACTAATCTCAGTAGTTCACTTAGTTTTGATTAATATATTTGAGAGGAAGCTGTAATTTATTCCTTTTTTTGAGAAAGAGAAGAAAGTAATTTATTCCAGAAGCTTTGTGCAGACACTTCAGAAAACATGGTAAATAATTCCTTAGTCTATTTCTAGTTTTCCCACAAATGTCTAATGTTAGCACAATTATGGTGTTTAAATGTTTGCTTTGTTACACTGGCATTTAAAATGTTTTAAACACAAGAAATTTGAGAGCCATGAAAACCCACTGTGGCCTTGACATTAAGCAGTCCAAGTAACCAAATACGAATTGTCAGGTAATGATCACCTCGTTCCCTTTTTGGGAATTTATTAAAAACCAAATAATTAAAATGAACATCTATCCTGACTCAATTTTTGAGCCAGCTCTGGATCTTCATTTTGAATGAATATATGCAGAAATGAAATAAGGCCAGCATTTATTTTTATTCATTAGTTCCACTAAGGAAAGTTTATCGTGCTTAAAGAAATCTTCATCTCCTCCAAGAACCTCTGTGTATTTCTTCTTACTGCATCTAGTTCTTTGTTCACGTGGGAATCTCCAGCAATATGTGCAGGTACTCCTGGCCATTACCAGACATCAGGGATGCAGCCTCTCCCACGTACCACAAATCCTATGCTGCAGAGACCAGAAGGGGTGTTCTCGTGCCTGTCCCTGTTCCTACTGGTAGCTAAGCATGCTATATCTTGGACCAGAGTCAACAGGAGAGATTTATAATGAAATGATAGTTTTGAATCTCATCAATGTGGATTCAGTTATCAGCAGGCAGGCTGATTTGGGTGAATGTCCCCATTGTTTTGTGACCAGGTAAAATGGTACAGCATATGTAATTATTCCTTCTTGTTTTGTAAAATCAGCCCATCCATAAACAAACACATTTTAGAGGGGGGGGGGAAAGTCAGCAGCAATTTTTTTGGTACATTCAATACTGATTTTCAGATCAGTCAAAATTAGGTGTTTTTGTGAATGAATAAGACTACGAACTTCATCTGGCTGTAAGCTTTTTGTATTTGTGACAAATAAAACACTGGATCGCATTCTGTGGCTGTTTGTTTTGCAAGAGAGGAGAATAGATGGGCTTGGCAAACAGGACATTAGTGTCAGTAGTACTTATCCAGTCCATCAGTGATGTCTGACAAGAGGACGATACGGTTGTCACTGTGACCTGTAGTGCGGCTGAAAAGAGTTGAGTTGTCTTTTATTCCTCTAGAGCAGAAAAGAAGAAATCAGAGTCAGTCACACCACTTCTCTATTACACATTCTCAGTCATCAGGTACTTTGAATTCATAGATTACTAAAATCAAAACAGAAGAATGGACCACTCTTCTTGCCTTCCATGAAGCCATGTAAGCACTAGTGCTCTGTAGTCCTCATGCTGAACAAGAAAGTAAAGTATTCTCTTCTCTCCGTGACCAGTCCTAGATTAGAAGATGGGAATATTGACCTAATGAAAGGATAACCTTTAGGGGACATGTTATGACCACAAATAGCTTGAACAGCTAAACTAGATCACCTTGCAGTGATTCACAAAGGAAACAGCTGCAAGAGACTTCAAAAGTCATTTGAGCAGTATCTGTTTGTTTAAAAAAGTAAAGTATTCTCTTCTCTCCGTGACCAGTCCTAGATTAGAAGATGGGAATATTGACCAGGATAACCTTTGAAAGGATAACCTTTGAAAGGATAACCTTTAGGGGACATGTTATGACCACAAATAGCTTGAACAGCTAAACTAGATCACCTTGCAGTGATTCACAAAGGAAACAGCTGCAAGAGACTTCAAAAGTCATTTGAGCAGTATCTGTTTGTTTAAAACGTTCTGTGCTGATGCTGTTCTTCTGAAGTATTTTATTGTTCTTTGCTGTGAAATAAATAACACTTGTGAGCGGGAATAAAGAGGGGTTTTATGGTAGCTGAAGTGTTGAAATCAAAACTTTCCAATATCTTAGCTTTTTCAATTCTTTCTTTAAAAACTATTAAGAGTACACAAATGTTCAGATTAACTGATAATTCTCTTATTGCATGGTTTACATTTCAATCCATTACTTTTACTAGTACTACACCATCTAGAGGAATTAATCTCTCTCTTGTTCCCACATTAGTATCTTTCTAGATGTTGTGCAGTTTGTTTCAAAGTTCTTGGAGTCTCACAGTTTCTTTAAATGCAGTTAAAAACCTTTATCATATTGTGACTTGAGATTACTGATTTTCTTATTCTGATGAAGAACTCTTTGGGCATGGCTTATTTCTGTAACATTTGGTTTCTGATTGTGTGAATATGGTATGTATCCTCACAATTTTATTGCTGCATGTAGCAGTTTGCATCATCAAAATAATGTAGTAATGTTGTAATGCAGGCAAAAATTGGTAGGACTGTTGATTTTTAACTTAAATTGGGTACTGCTACCTTCTGGGGTATATTCTAATTCATTTTCAGTTCATAAATCACACTTCAGAAAAACCCTAACTCTTACCTCCTGTGGGGATTTCTTGTTCTGTTTTTCCTAGAGGAACTGTAAATTAATTTCCAGCTGAAGCCTGCTGAGATAATGTAATCACAGGAAGACTAAATCAAATGAAAATATTTAAGCGATTAGGAGCTCTTATGTCAGAAAGTATGCATTGTAAAAGTATATTAGGTGTAGACAATACCTGTTGCGTTACGTATTTTTTCTTTTCTGATCACTGTCATGTTAATTGTAAGATGTAAAATCAGATACAACATGTTTCTGTTGTTGGTCTTACATTTATATCCTGGTACATACATATGCATGCTAGAGATGTAATAATAAATTATTGTTTGGACTACCATTAGGATTCCTAAATGTCCATTAGAGTGTGAAATAGCATCTTTAGACCTTAAAAAGTCTTTTTGACTTGCCTGTCCACAGTTTACTGTTTTAACTTTCTCCTAGTTCTCATAGAATGGTTAAGGTTGGAAGGGACCTTAAAGATCATCTAGTTCCAACCCCCCCTGCCATCAGCAAGGACACCTTCCACTAGACCAGGTTGCTCAAAGCCTCATCCAGCCTGACCTTGAACACATCCAGGGAGGGGGCATCCACAGCTTCTCTGGGCAACCTGTTCCAGTGTCTGACCACCCTCACAGTAAAGAATTTCTTCCTCATGTCTAATCTAAACCTGCCCTCTTCCAGTTTAAAGCCATTTTCCCTTGTTCTGTCACTGCCTGCCCTTGTAAAAAGTCCCTCCCCATCTTTCTTGTAGGTTATGGTACATACTTCTTTATTGTTGCTTATAGCTTGTACATCTCATATAGCCTGTTCTCCTTTCCCTATTTCTCTTTTAGCCTAGTTTTATAGATTAGTTCTTTTAAGTATCAAAATTGGGGTTTTTACCATAAGTATTGGAGCCTCCCTACCATCATTCTCTCACACATGTATCCTGTTTATGGGACATGTTCAGCAATGTGCCCTGTATCAGAAGTGGGATGGGGAAGCAAATTTCTCAGGGTTGGTGGAGTGCAGCTGCTCATTCCATGACACATCTCAGTCCTTGTTCTCTGGAGTAATAACACTGGTGGATCATTCTCAGCAAGGGTCTGCTTCACTGATGGAGAGACTTGATGGAATCAAAAAAATCATTAGTACTAAAGCAGAGAAACATCTTTTCCCTAACAGAATACATTTCTGGTGCAATTCCTTGTGTAGATCTTGATGTGTAACCCCAGTAAGTTGGGAACACTTACTTTTTAAGTAACATCAGTTATTTACAGGTAAGTTCAACAGGGAACTACTTCTGTAAAAATTAGGGGTTGATGGTTCACTGTTGTGGTATTGTAGGATTTTCTAGAATTGCACTTCTTAAAAAGAAGTTGGCTTAATTAAGAAGCTAGCTTTTTTTTTTTACTGCTGCTGTGTTATCCAGGTTTCTGTATATAAGTGCTCTAATTATTAATGTACTTCCAATGATGTATTGAGCTGCCTTTTGTGGTGTGGAAGCATATTTTTAGGATGTCTGTTTATAGGCTTTCCTCTAGCTTAAGAAATTAGATGATTATTGATCAAACTTCCAAAATGAGATGGAACCCAGAGTGTTCAGTTGCTTCCAAATCAAAATTGATGAGTTGTTTCACAGCCAAGTCCTTAAATTAAGTGTTGCAGCATTATGATATGCTATATCATATGGGGTTTTGTTTTTTTCTTTTTCTGAAGGTGGTGTTACGGTATTTGTGGCCTTATATGACTATGAAGCCAGAACTACAGATGACCTTTCATTTAAGAAAGGTGAACGGTTCCAGATAATAAATAACACGTAAGTGTTCTAATTCACAGACTGCAATTAGTTGTTGTTGGGAATAAATAGATCCTCAACTCTTGAAATCTATGTATCCTATTTCAGTGAAGAATAGATTGATTTATTTTTTTTTTCCCTTTTCTTGAATGCATGCTATATTCAACAAGCATGGGGTTAAAATACTGATACTAGTAAGACAATAACCTTCAAGCTGAGGTCAGGGTTTGGGGCCTGATGTAGGGCTGTAGTGACTGGGACAGCTCCAGGCCTTCTCCGGAGTTGGTTGGGTGGCCTCCTTCTATTCCCTGCTTCAGCAAGGCACAGATACCTGCCTTGGGGCAGCAGAAGTGGAGACACAGGCTATCCCACCTTGTCCAAGGCTCTGCACTTTGCAGGTTCTCTCTGATGGGCTTACGTATATGACAGGGAGGTGGGTGCAACCGGCAGCGCTGCACTGCAGATGCCAGAGGCAAGTGCCCTGGCAGGGCTTCTGGCCATGGAAGTGTGTCTGGCTGGCCTCCAAAGTAAATCTATGCTCAGATAGTTTGTGAGTAGTTTGATGTTCTAGTTCAATTGTAGCAGCATTACAGTGTTACGGCTTGATTTCTTAGAAGTCTAGTGAAAAGGAAATAATTTGTACACCTTGGAGATTTCTTTACACACAGCTTTTGGCTGTGGTAACAGTTCTAATTCATACATGTAGCAGTGTTCATTCATCCTGTTCTCTTAATTTTATTATCTGAATTCCTGCTTCCTTTGTTCACTGTCAGCGTACAGGTGGAATGATCTGGGAGAAACAGATGAAGAGTAGAGAACTGGGAATTTTATTTACACATCTGTCATAAAACATTTCACTTTGTGTGTATCAATAAATTCATTTTACATTTAAAAAAAAAAAAAAAATCTTTAAAATGCCAAAACCCACGAAGAGGCACTTGTGTTGCTTACAATGAAAAGAAAAATACATTTAGGTGCAGCACAAACTGTTTTAAATGCCTTCACAATTAAAATAACATGTTACCTAAATTTAACCCACCTTTCATATGTGAGGATGTTATAGGTGCTAGGGAATGATATATTGTTTATATGTGGAAGAGATAACTGATGTTGCATTGCAGGGAAGGAGACTGGTGGGAAGCAAGATCCATTGCTACAGGAAAAACAGGCTACATCCCAAGCAATTATGTAGCTCCTGCAGACTCCATTCAAGCAGAAGAGTAAGACACAGTATACTGTCATCTGTTCTTTTTATCTATTCTATATGTGCCCTGTGGTGATACTGTTACTTTAGCCTTAAATGTTACACGTATTAAAGTAAGCTAACACTAGTAATTAAAGGCTAGTGGTGCTATTTGGATGATGTTAAAGGTATAATTATCAGCCAGTGTGAGGTGGACACTCATGCAAATGTTTTATGCCTGCTGGATAGGTATAGGGCTAAAGGAAAAAGGATGGGAGAATGCAATAATGAAGATAAGAATTGGGGGACATACAATGTATTTAATGTAAAACAAAAATGGATGGTTTTTAGTTAAAGAGCTCATGCACCATCAACTCTAGGTTTTTATCCTTATTTTGCCAAACACTAATTCAAGATCAGCTATATCCTTGGTAGCACCTAATCGTACACTCTAAAATATATCCTTTTGTGCGGACACATATTGCTAACCTATTAATCCAGAACAACTTTTTTGGTAACAAAATTGTTACACACACTAAGAACTACTATGGATTAGGAAAACTATATTGCTTTTGGGTACTGGTAATTCCTACATTTATTTACAAACAAAGATCCCAGAGCAGTTACAGAGTCACGTAAAGCTGTGGGAGCTGTGAGTTGGGGTAGTCTCATGTTATGCTTGTTCCAAGGGATTAATTGTATTTGTTGTACTAGAAATACAAAGCTCTGCAGCTCTTGCTTCATTATACAGGTATGGTACTGCCAATAAGCAATTCCCTGATACACGATCTGCACACTTCTGTGTTTGCTACTGCACTTCTGGGAAAAGTGCCCAATTTCCAAGATGTTTCCTGAATCTCAAGCTGAGACTTTAGCATGTTGCTGCTGCTCTCACCTGGCTCTTTGCTGTTAAAAAGTTATTGCATCAAAGATGTGCTGTTATTTTATGCCCTTGAGTTTCAGCTGCTTTTAAAATTACTAACTTCAGATTTTTTTGAAAAGAAGTTGAGGGTTTTGTTGTGGGTTTTGGGTTTTTGTTTTTTTTTTTACTATACAGTAAAAGCATATTGTTATTACAGGTTCAGTGGTGGTAGAATAGAAATGATAAACTTTGCAAACTAAGAATGCAGTGTTGCTGCAAAGAAAGTATTGCTCCTAAAGACTGGCAAAATGAAGTGGTGGGATTTTTCATAGGTTTATGTGATGACTAGAGGTGAGAGTGAGGGGTGGTGAGTGAGGAAGCTTTTTTTAAACTGACTGTTATAAAGAATTAGTGCTAATTTTATTAAATATCACCACAGCATTTGGAATAGAGTTAATTTGCTTTAGAGTTCATTTGCTAGCCCTGGGCTTTGATAGCATTTATAGGTTTTGTGTTGTGATTGCAGTTGGAGTTACAAGTGCAAAAGCAATACAGAGCCCTAAGTTACTAAGATTTTATTTTAAGTGGTCTTTTCTAAGCCTTGAAGGCATTTATATCACAAACTGCTTGTGACGACATCCATGTGCCTTTTGAATGATACCATAATATAGACGTTTAATGCTCATAAAAAGAACAACTAAACTGTACTATTATTTTATAGGTAATGAAATAAAATGGCACTTTACAATACAGTTTTTAAATTGTTATAGTAGTCTGGAGAAGAGGCATTTTCATTTCAAGTTTGCTTCCATAAGATTATAGGTTTCATCAAAATGGTCTCAAGTGTACGTGCTCTCATATCCAATTCTAACTTTGCATATCTACTCGAAACAGTCAAACTGCAAATACAATAAAAAGTAAGGATAAATTTCAAATTCCCAAGTGATTGCATAGGCCAATAAAATGATCCCAACTTACCTACATTTTTCCCCTACAAAATGTTTCACCCACAAAACCATTGTTTTGCACCAGTTTCCAATACTACTTTTCTTCTCCCAACACTCATGAAGCCAAATTTTCTTGATGCTATGACAGTTCCAAATGAAAACGTTTGAAATTTACATTTTGCATCCCTTTGACTTCTGAGGCACACAATCAAAATAAAATGTAGTTAGAAATAAGTATCATTCCAAAGTCTGGGAATTTACTGGGAGATGGACCTTATAATTATCACTGTCTCAGGACAGAGCTGTGTGCAAGCTGTTCATCAGGATGAGCACACTGTGGGAGCATAAATGAAGAAATTACTTTTGTGAAAGAACTTAAGGGAAGAAAAAACACAGATGTTATAAACTATCTGCATAGTTTTCAGTATCAGAATGATGCAATAGAAATGAAGTGTTACTCACAGAGAAGTAAATGATACCTACCACTGGGTTATTTCTAAATGATTAGTAGAAAAAAGTGCTCCCTCTACTGAGGTAGAGAAGGACAGGAGGCAATAGAAGTTGAAACAGGACAGGTTCCAGCTGGATATAAGAAGAAACCTTTTTATCCTGAGGGCAGCCAGGCAGGGGCACAGGTTGCCCAGGTTGGCTGTGCAGGGTCCATCCTTCACGGTTTTCAAGACTGGAGTGGACAATGCCCTGAGCAACCAGGTCTCATCTCACCGCTGACCCTGCTTGCAGCAGGAGGCTTGACCAGAGATATCCCAAGGTCCCCTTCCAACCTGAATGAACCTGTAATCCAACTATACTTATGCACACGCATATTGCATTGAATATTGTTTTCTAGCATATACCCAAAACTTCTTAGAGAAGGTAGTTTTGGCTGCTACAGTGCTTTGAGTGTGGTACCAAAGTGTGTCATCTGATTGAGCTTGACCTGTGAACTTCTTCACCAGAAGGAGGGTGTTACTTTCAGTGTTAAGTACTGTTGATGTCCATTGTTGAACCATCAGAAAAACACAGTATTTGTGGCACAGATTTGTGCCTCTTTACGTGTCTTTTGCATACAGTAGAAATGAGTCATACAGAAACAGGTCATCTTAATCTTTTGTTGATATGGATGTCATTACTTTTGTTGATCTGTAACTGCTTTGGGATATTAGTAGTCTAATCAATGCTCAAGATTTCTAAATCTTGTATTTCTATGATTACCAAAGCATACGAAGCTTTTATTTACACATATTTCCTTTAACATTTTCTAGGTGGTATTTTGGTAAGATGGGCAGGAAGGATGCAGAAAGGCTACTTTTAAATCCTGGAAACCAGCGTGGTATTTTCTTAGTAAGAGAGAGTGAAACCACTAAAGGTATGTATATTTATGTATATCTCTTCTCTCTCCTATTTCGCACCCTGCCCCATCAAGGCGGACATAATGAGTATTTTTATGTCTGTCGCATTTTACGTATGCATATGCACACATATATGTGTGTAATTAGATTAGATAGGTTAAATAAGTTTCTAAATTTTGGGTGAAGAACCAAGTATGACTTGTTTTATAGGTGCTTACTCCCTTTCCATACGTGACTGGGATGAGGTCAGAGGTGATAATGTGAAACACTACAAAATCAGGAAACTTGACAATGGTGGATACTATATCACGACCAGAGCACAATTTGAATCTCTACAGAAGTTGGTGAAACACTACAGAGGTAAGCCCAAGTCCTAGTGTCCCAATGCTACCTTGTGCCTATCATGAGGAAGAAAAACAGCTTATGTAGCTTATTTTTAAAATTCACAATTATAAGATTTATTTTTTATTTCAACAAACAGTAAAGGGACTAGTTCTCCTTATCAACATTCGGATGTTAGTTTTGTTATAATCTTACCCCTGCGTAACAACAAAGCTTGTTTTTTCCGTTTTCCAGAACATGCTGATGGGCTGTGTCATAAGCTAACAACAGTGTGTCCCACTGTGAAACCACAAACACAGGGACTAGCAAAAGATGCCTGGGAAATTCCTAGAGAATCTTTGAGGCTGGAAGTTAAGTTGGGCCAAGGATGTTTTGGTGAAGTATGGATGGGTAAGAGCTTAATGTGACACCTTGCAGTTGTTCTTGTGGATATTCTAATAGCATTTTAAGTAAATCAGTATTGGGATCTGAAAAGATAAACTGATAAAGAATTTAAAGGAAAAAATGCCAATGTGATCAGTTACTTAAAGATAAAAGTAATATTCAATATATTTCTAGTTTATAATTACTCTGTTACCTAAGAAAACAGAATCAAAAAGCAAGCTGTTTCAGTAGAAAATCTTTTGTGTTATAATGGAGAATAAAATCTGATTTGCTTTTCTAGGAACATGGAATGGAACCACAAAAGTAGCGATCAAGACACTGAAACCTGGTACAATGATGCCAGAAGCTTTCCTGCAGGAGGCTCAGATCATGAAGAAATTACGACACGACAAACTTGTTCCACTATACGCAGTTGTTTCTGAGGAACCAATCTACATCGTCACTGAATTCATGACAAAAGGTGTGTGACAACACTTTGAAGATACTATGTTAAAAAAATTATTTCAGATACCAGTAACAAATTAAATGCTTAATTAATGTTAGGTTTAAGCTGACTGAAGTATAAGTGGTAATTTTGATTAAATTAAAATGAGCAATGCTTGACCTACTTGAAGCAGTTCTGATTTAGATCGTGGGTGGAGACATGATTTTTTTTGCATATATGTCATCCTTACTAATCTTCCAAGTACAAGATGGGGTTTTTTTTCCTCATTTTTTAGTGTGTACTGCCTGTTACACTTAAATTGGATAGTATAGATGGGAATGTCGTTATGAGAATACACCTGCTTCTACACAGGTCGTGCTCACAATGACAGAATCGGTTGGGTTTTGTGTTTTTTTCAGTTTGTCTTTTCTAGCAGTGTAACAATAAATTTTAAAAAAGATTGAGGTTTTTTTTTCCCACGTCCCTTCCTTTATCTCCTTGTTTTCAGTCTTTCATCCTTCTTCTCTTGCTCTATATCATTCCCCTCCCCACCCTCCCCCACTGCTGAAACAGAGATTTAGAGACTTGGGCTGAATGTAGAAATAAACATCATAAGCATATTAGTCTTAAGCAGCAGCAGATTTTCAAGTCAATTATTCTAGTTACTGAAAACTGCAGACTTTTAATCTCACAGAATTTTTGCTATCCTGGTAAGAAATAGAAGCAATGTTAAAGTCTCAGAGAGTGGCTACTTGTGTTCAGTACTCTGACACAAATATGTGGGAGTTTTTTTCCTGTTTGGATGGGGTTTTTAAAGCATTGTATAAGTTTGAAAAGGTAGAAAGGAATAGAAACATCTAAAACGTTCCTTCTATGTTGTTGTCGTTCCTAAATAACACTAGACAGTCTCTCTGACAGATCTTAAAGCTGTCACTCAAAATGAGTTTTCCTTATTCAGAAATTAGTTTTTGTCAAGGCAAACAGGAAGAAAATGCTTTATAGCTTTCTGTCTAAGAAAAAGTAAAGTTTAAAACCAGAAGTGGGATGTTAGCTTGCAAAAGCAAAAGTAAAGAATGGGAAAAATAGTTGCGTGTTTGTCTAAACTATGGATGCACAGTGCCATTGAAAGCCTCTGTTTTCATTTGAAAAACTTCATACATTTTAGCAAAAAAACAGAAAATCTCTTTGGTGGTTTATACTTGAAAGCTAGTAGAACCATTTTTCTTTTTTTTCTTTCTCCTTTTACAAGGAAAAGAGGTGGGTAGGAACTGCACAGTGCCTAAATTTTTTTCCAGTGTGGACAGGTTACTAGACATCAGTGTGAAATCTTTGCTCCTCTTTGGTCCTTTGAGCTCATGAACCAAGATGGGAAAAAGTCTGTGCAAACACACACAACAAAGAGCAGCAGCAGTGTGGGTCTGGCCTGCCATACTTTTATTTTCAATACAAAAATACAACAGGTGACTGAAACGACATTGGAGGTATCTAATTCACAGCTACACCCATGAATCCACTGCAAGATGTGTAGTTTAGTGGTTTTTTTCCCCACCATTGCCACACTTGTAATTTTGTCATTGTAGTTTGGACTGTGATGAGAATTATTAGTTATCAGTCTTCACTAGTTTCTTAAGAAAGAGATCATGTTTCTCTACTCTTATGGCGTAACAGCACCTAAAAAAAAGCTGTTATGTCAAAGACTGTTTTACCATGCATGTAAAGATTATTTTCTTAAAAGAAGCACAGATCCTTAGAATTGATTTCAAACACGACTCATGTTGTAATCTTCTGGACACAATTGCATTATATAAATGGGAGAAGATAATCTATTGTAAAGCATGGAATATACTTTTTTTCCCCCCCTGTAAGGAAGAAAAAGCAACAAAATAAAAGCAGCGGTTTCAGACTCATTTTCCTACTATATAATTGGAGCTGGAAGAAAAATTTAAGTAAAGGAGAGGATTCAATTATAAATCTCACTGTGGAAAAAGTCCGACTAAGAAGGGCATTGATACCAGGAATATTGAGAAAAATCCTTTTGTATTGCCATGTAATCATCAAGTGGCAATCTGTTTTATTAGTGTTCAGTTATCTGGATTATTGAAATGGATTCTGAAATACTTGGATAAAACTTACACTAGCTAGTTACCAGGGCAGAGTCAACTAAAGGCATAGTCATTGAGTCATACATATTCAGTTAAATTGTGGGTTTTCAAACAGATTTTGGGAGATGAATGTGTAAATCATAGTGTCTAGAAAAAAAAAAATCTCATTCATGTTGTCAGGTCAAATTAATGTTTTGGTTTTTTCCCTTTTTCCCTCCCCACAAATATGTCATCTTTTACAGGCAGCTTGCTAGACTTCCTTAAAGAAGGAGAAGGGAAATACTTAAAACTCCCACAGCTGGTCGACATGGCTGCTCAGGTACATTTTATAAACCAAGGAAAGTGTATTTTGTGTCTAGGGAAGAGATTTAAAACTACATCAGATATCAACTAAACATAAATATTGAACACTCTGGCTATTGTATGCTGTTCTGTCTTACATCCTCTGTTGTAGGTTTGTAAATTCTCAAAAAGAAACAGATTATTTCCCAATTAACAGATACTGTATAGCCAGACACACTCTAACCAGTGCTGTCACAAGCCTTTGCTATGCTATACTTCCTGTACTTCTACAATGGAGCTAAAATAAAGGGGTACAGCTTAATGCTCGGGAGAAATGTGTATAGTCATGAAAAATAATCTTTAATAAAACTTTATTTTTAAGATTGCTGATGGCATGGCTTACATTGAAAGAATGAACTACATCCACAGGGATCTCCGGGCAGCTAACATTCTTGTAGGAGACAATCTTGTGTGTAAAATAGCAGACTTCGGTTTAGCAAGGTTAATAGAGGACAATGAGTACACTGCGAGACAAGGTGAGACCAATTTATTTACTCGATAGATAGGACCAGTTACCTTCAGTTTACTTATAACTATTACATTTGGCAGAATGTGTCTGTGTATTCTGGCCATATGAATAAAGATTATGCATATAAGTGTGCTTTCACTATGTTTAGAAGTTCCCTTTGCCTAAGTGCAATTTTAGTAAAGTTTTTAGTGTTCAAAATTAGCTGGCAGTTTTACTTATGTTTTCAAAAAACTTTTTTAATTCTTTTTTTGGGTAAACCTTGCTACAGTTTGAAGAGAGCTTATTCCAGAAAGGTTGCTCATCAGATTCTGAAGATCACCCCACTTTTTGAAACATACTTAGTTAAGAATACCAGCTGTCTTAAGTGCTTCCAAAAATTGTAGCCAGTAGTTGCTGCCCTAGTTTGAAACTGGTTTCCAGTTTGAAATATTAAAATACTAAACCACCTCAGATTTTGTCAACAAAGCAAAATACTTTTTTTAGTACATTCTTTTAAAAATATTTGTAAGTGTAGGCAAATTATGCATAAGCAAGGGAAAATTGTATATTTGTCTTTCCAATGTTTGTAGGAGCTAAATTTCCAATTAAATGGACTGCTCCAGAAGCAGCATTGTATGGTCGGTTTACAATCAAGTCGGATGTGTGGTCATTTGGAATTTTACTGACAGAGCTGGTAACAAAGGGGAGAGTGCCATATCCAGGTAAGAAGAAAATTGAATAGTTTTTTATTTTCTTTGTTGTATTCTGTGCTTCTGAAGTTACCTTTCGTACTTTTTGCCTTCGTTCAGAGACCACAGTTGACAAGGAGAGACAAAACGTAGTCACGCTTCATTGGTTCCTTTGTTCACAAAGCTACTTTGTATTATTTACAGATTAATATTTATATATTTTTAAAGTGTTTTAAGATAACAGCATTTGTAAATGTGACTGATGGTTCATTTCACATTAGTGGGTATCCTCGTGTTTTCCTATCTCTCTGTTCCTGAAATATCTACTTTTGACATTTTCCCAGGCTACAGTGAGCATCAGTAGAGTGAACCTGCTTGACCAGTTTTTGAAACTAAACATAAGTAACGTCTTTTGTCAGATATTTTGCCATGACTGGAGTTTGTAAGGCAGTTCTTTTATGTATAAAATGCCTTTTTCTTGGCTTGATTTCAAATTAAATGGTCCTTGAATGGAACCTAAGGCAGGCAGAAGGTATTTCTGCTTGAGTCTCCTATCTGAAAGGACATACCCAAGGCAGTGGGAAAGTATACAAATGAGAAAGCATACAAATGGAAGAAGGACCAGGTATTGAGGAACTACCAGTGTAATTAAATAATTTTCAGAAAATTTATTTAATGAAAAATGTAAAAAAAATCATTAATTATAAAGTGCATTCATTGAAGGTTCTGTTATGGTAGATTCACATGCATTGTGACTGGAGAGAGACTTGAAAAACTTCGGGAAACTGTTGTTTGCATCATGTCATTCAGAGCTAACGTGCTTTTCTTTCAGGGATGGTGAATCGGGAAGTGCTGGAACAAGTGGAGCGTGGATATAGGATGCCTTGCCCACAAGGCTGCCCAGAGTCTCTCCATGAGTTAATGAAACTGTGTTGGAAGAAAGACCCTGATGAAAGACCAACATTTGAATATATACAGTCTTTCTTGGAGGACTACTTTACTGCTACAGAACCACAGTACCAGCCTGGAGACAATTTATAAGCCAAGAGTCTATATAACATGCACAAATCTGCCAAATGTAAAAGACTTGCAAAGAATTCCTGATGTCTGTAAGGAATCAAAGGAAAGAAAACCTTCGCTACTTTGCATGCTCTTAATGGCAAACTGGAATTTCATACGGCAGTTGCACAAAACCACTTTTAAAGTGTTATAATCTAATTTACCAATGACATGTTTTTATTTTTTTCCTCTTTTCCAACTTATTTTCAGGGTCCAAAGGAAGCTTACTGAAAATACGGGGTAGAAAAATGAGCGTTGGTGTGAACAATAGCAGAAAAAACAATGTTTCAAATCCTTTATTCTCCCAACATTTGATAATCATTCTACTAAAGAGTGCATTGTCTGGAATTAGTGATCTTGGGTTAAGATATTTTTAAAGCAGAAGAACTTTGTGGGACCAAGCAATTCTATTCCAGTTCTGTAGAATTCCCTGTGTTCAAAATTACATGTGTGTGTCCACCGCCCCCCCAAAAGAAAAGATGGTACAACTGTATTTGATATATAGTCTTGATCTTTAAGCTTCCTCTTGCATGGACTTAATTAGGGTAGGCAGGTTAAAAGATAAATTGGAAAATGAATGACAAACTTGATTTAAATGGTAGACCTCAATAGCAAAAGTAGAGAGCATAATGCACTGTGTTAATACTTGTATTAATATAACTGGAAAGTAGCATGAGAGATTTTTCGGGGTTTTTTCTTTCTGCATAGCTAATTAAGAATAATGAAGGTAACTAGAAAATGAGGTAATATTTTATAAAATTGTCTTGATAAAGTATGATGATATTTGAACTTGAAGCTATGTAATACAATCAGGGGGGGAAAGCTTTTAATCTTTTAAGCTCCAATCCAACAGCGAGCTTTTGTGTAGGAAGACTACCTGAACAAAGCTCACCAGGAAAGCAAGACTGAAGCTGGTAAATGGCCACTTTTTAGTCCTTTTTCAGAGACAGGTTTGGTACTGTTGCATGTGGCTTATATGTGTTAACGAGGGTGGGTGCCACAAATGCTAGCTGTCACTAGCATTGTTCAGGGATTTGATTGCACTTTTGCTTTTCTTGACTATTAAGACACACTTACACGCAGTTGCTCTTCCCGCTTCTGCCCTTCCTACAGAATTATTTAACTGAAAATAAACAAAAGAAAATGTGAAAGTTTAAAAACTAAAGGGATAAAATATATTTAATATTGTCCGAATATAATGACATTGAGATTTGCTGGCATTCAGCCCAGCTGACACTACATCTAGATTTATTTTCTTTGGCTACTGACATATCAAGCAATAACATCATGTCTTTTACTCAACAATTTGCATGAGGTTCTTGAAATTCTGTACTTTAATTTTGAAACACTAAACTTTGCTACCAGGTTGGAATTCATATTACCATTGTACAACTATCCAACAAATGCATTTCAGAAAAGCTGATAATACAGTTCTGGTACTAAACTTAACATTCTTCATGGGTTTACACTACATTGAATCCAACTACCAAACAGATCTTTGTAAGAACAGTGCCATCATTTTTCATTTTCCCTCATCATTGCTCATCACCTATACATCTGTGGTTATCAAATTTTAAAAGGGCTTTATGTAAGAAAAACAAAAATAAAACAAAAAAAGCACACACAAAAAATAATCACAAAACCCAAAAAAAAAAAACGGAATTTTAATTTTTCTAAATATTTTAAAATTAGTAACACAATCATATGAGTTTATGTATTAATACAGCTATAACAAAAAATGCCAAAAATGACACTGGCATTGTTTGGATTTTTAATTACTGAATGGAGCAGTTCATTGTAATAACACTTGTATAGTAAAGGAATAAAACACTAACTTAATGAACGTGTTCATTGTAAATGGTTGTGTATTATAAGACTTCTCCAAAAGAGTTTGTATGTTTATGAAAATTTGTTTCACCTGAAGACCTTGATGTGGTTCTTACCCTAACAGAGTTTAAAATTCACATTCACACTTTTTATATAAATAGTAATAATTATGTAACTAAGTATTTTTATAAAGTATGGCATTGTTGAACTGTTTTGCAGAATTGGTTCAAAATAAATTTCTCCTTGATTGCATCTGCGTATTTGAGGAAGGGGGGGAGGGGAACAAAGGCAGAGTAGCCTTCATATCGAGGAGAATAAAACCTTCATGAGTTTTGGGTGTATTTTTATCTTCTGTAAACTATTTTAATGTACTTTCATACAAGATGCCGAGTTCATGGTGCATTATTGCTGTGAAAAGGGAGACATTTTCTAGAGCGGTTAAACAGAAGTTCTTGGCAGGAATGGGCTAAACCAATTCTGTCTAGACTTAAAACTAACCCTCGTGATGGACGGACAGGCAGACGGGATTCTTGTGAGAGCAAGTCCAGTGTAGACGCTCAGCTGGCAGCCACTGCCGTGCTCCAGGGCAAACACATTTCCTCTCTTGCTTCATCTGGGATTAGCAGCCACTGTTGACTTCTGTGCAATTTTTCAGGGAATTTTATACATTTGTTTTTGTGATAGCTGATGTTTTATCTCGACTTCATTGAATGTTACCTGTTTCAATGACCAGTACAACTCAAACCGCAGATCCTGACATGTATATACAGTGCCACTGTAGATTAAGGAGCTAGTACTGTTTGAGTTTCAGTAATAACTAATACAGCACTAAAACCATTCTTCTTACAGAATCTACAAACTGCAAAGTTTACTGTATTTTTAGTATTTCTTGTAATGTAATTAATGTTTTACTATTTTTAATGACAACAATCATGTAATTTCTGGTAATCTGTACTCTCCATGTCCATCAGAACCTTGTGATACCCATTCTGCATGCTAGGCCTGCAGATTGTTTGTCATGCGTTGTTTCAAGCTGTAGTATTTTAAGAATATTTTCATACTATTTTTGAGTAAACTTCCAAACATAAAAATGTGTGCAATCCTAATATTCAGTTAAAATACGTCCCTACTTTAGCATAAAGCATTATCAAAAGAACCTTCCATGTTCTTATCCTTGCAACCACTGAATTGTCACTTCACTAGGCTTGTGAGTAGCTATTACCACTGAGAAGTAGCCTTGGAAAAGTGGTTTGCTTTTGGTTTTTGTTTGGTTTGGGTTTTTTTTTTCCCCTTAAGAAAATCTCCTAGAGTTTGCTGATGTGTAGAAGCAAGCTGGAATCCTGTCTTACCTGTAGTCATCTACAATACTGTTTCTTCTGAAACGCATTATCCACAGCTGGAATGAGTATAAATTAATATAAGCAACTAAACTTAATGAGCCCCCACTTTTGTTATTTATTTTGATCTATTCAATCCAATAAACTTCTCAGTTTTTAAGTTTTTCTGTGAAGATGCTGTAGACGTCTGTGTTTGTGCCAACTTCCCCCCAACACACAAGACTTCGCTTAGAGCTCAACAGTCATATTGGGTTTAAATCACAGGAGCACTCACAGTAAGCAGTACATCGCAAGCAGGACATAAACATTCTCACACCTTGCTAAGGAATTTAAGATTAAATTTGAGTACCTGATTTGGCGCTGTAAGCAGGTCTGGGTGGATAGCTGCTGAAGTCCAGAATTGTGATTCATCCAGTAGCTACTGTCTTGTGCATTAGGTGTTTGGACTTGGTGCATGTGCCTAGAAATGCAGGTGCCTTCACAGCAGCACATCTTGCACCTACCTCAGCCTGACCCTAATGCAGGAGCAAGACTGCTGTTGATCTTCCAGGCACTGCCGGAGGCTGGCAGTCGGTGCACGGGTGTAAACCTCCACGGTGCACGTGTCTGGCAGACACCTTTTCCAGATGGGGTCAGAAGCGGCATTAGATGAGCGTGGAATGGTTATATCTATTTTGATGTAATGTCCTAGAGTGGAAAACATGGGCTCTGATCAAGAATCCTGGATTGCTGATGGATCTTGTTCAGGGCGTTGCTAGGTGGGAGCAGAACCCACAGCAGGACTTCAGTCACAGCCACATGCTTAACTATTTGCTCAAGGACCAAGTTCCTTTTTCTCTCTGCACTCTTCCCTACTGATACAGGGAGCGTCTGTTCCTTTGTGGCCAGTGGAAATGGAGCAAGGCTAATGCCAGGTGCTGCTTCTGTTCTCTGTGGTGATTCTGGCCACCTCACCCTGACTGGTTCCTAGCAGAGCCCCTTTGTATTAGCTGGGGAGTTCCAATACAGAAAGACAGCATCATTCTAGTGTAATTTGTAAGGGGGATCTTGATCAGCTCTTAGGAAAAAAAAAAACAATACAGGGACATACTGGTCCCTGGATCCCAAACTGACAGGGATGCTTGCCTCTGGAACTCAGCCCCAGAGTGATGGCATTTCTGACGCTGGAGAGTAGCTTAGCACTTCTTTCCTAGTGCATCTGTGTGAACGTAGGATTCTGTGTTAGGTTTCTCTCTTTTCCATGTGGGTATGACATACCTAGGAACTTAACAGAGTTCAGACATTACCCATGAGACCTGTGTTCTATACTGGTCCTACTCTTTGAGCTTATTCTCCTTGTCAGTTCTGCATGCAAACACGTCCTTCTTGTACGTAGCGTGTTGGTTATTTATTTTTAACGTTCTCTTTTAATTTAAAGGCATATTTTTTTGTCAAATTGTAATAACCACTGTTGTTGGGGGATCAAAGTATTCATAGCACTGTGTACTTTTACAGAACATTGTCCATCTCTCAGTATTTCATTTACTTTGAGTAGAAACACGTGCTGCCCATTGTGTTCCTTTTAATTTGTTCTTAAATGAGAGAGGACAGTTACCTGGTTAAACTCAGCAGGGTCTGAGGAACAGACTGGAAATTTAAAAGGGAAACCTGAATGCAAGCAGTCTTCATGAATCAGTCGTGTACCAATACTGAAGCTGACTGCTGTGAAACCATTTATTTTTTTATCAAAAAGCTACTCCCAGTAGGAGCACTTCACCCTGCTCCTTTGTGCCCTGCTGTTAGGTTATTGAGTCTCTAGCTAAGGCTACCAATAAGTGCGTACTGGGGAATGGATAGATCTGTGCATCTTACATTTGGCTCTGAAAATCCATCCCATGCATGCTAACAACTCACTTCTTTCCTGGACCTCAGCAGGTGCCAGCTGCTGCATTTACCATTCATTCAATACCCCCACATTTTTTTCTCATTGAGGGCAGGCTTCCAGGGCCTCCATGGCTGATGATCCTTCTCTCAGCTTCAGTGTGTGGATGTGCCAGGGTTGTATTTCCTGGGTCAAGAAGCATTTCTGGTCTTTCAAAAACAATAAAGGATAAATCTCAGTTCAGCATGACTCCTGCTATAAATAAGGAGAACTAGTCACTTAGACTGCTTCATCATAAAAACAGTGAGGACGGCTCCCTGCTCCTCCAGCAACTGCGGAATACACCACTCACAGAGATGTTCAAGGTGTGTTGTCAAACAGTCAAAACAACCATGCTAGATTGCATCCCCTGTTCAGTCCTGGCAAGGAGGCCAAGTCTGTGATAAAAAAAAATGCTGAAGAGTTCCCAAGAAAAGGCAGTGTTGGCTCTGATTTCTGAATGGAAACTGGCAACCAGATGACTTG